AAAAAAAAAAAAAAAGCTAGGCATGGTGGCATGTGCCTGTAGTCCCAGCTACTTGGCGGGGGTCTGAGGCAGGAGGATTTCTTGAACCCAGGAGGTTGAGGATTCACTGAGCTGAGATGGTGCCACTATCCTCCAAGCCTGAGCAATAGAGCAAGACTCTTTCTCAGAGTGGGGAGAAAAAATGGAATGGAGCCTTTAAAAATAAGAGATCCAAGGGCTTGGAATTTGAACACAGAACAAATGCACCTTCTCTTCTACCTGAAGGAGGAAGGACTGGGTCACAAGTGAAGCCTCAGCTCTGCTGTAGACCTGCTTTAAATCCTAGCCTTCCCAGTTAATAGCTGTGTGATCTTGGGTAAAGTGGCTCTCTCAGAGTCAGTATCTTTATCTGAAAAATGGGAAAAATAGGAGTACCTACTTATTTTGGTGAGGATTAAATGAGATTCTATGTGTACAGTGCTGAGCACCATGTCTGGCACATAATAAGTACCGAATAAATGGTAACTACTAAATTTATTTATTTTTCTTTTTTTTTTCTTTAATTTTGGTAACTACTAAATTTATACACTGTTAAGGCTGTCATATCTCACTTCCACTGCTACCTGCCCACCCCCAACCCCCACCCCCACCCAGGCAAACCTTGGGTTCTCCAGAAAGAACATTGCCACTCCCTCCAACTGTCCCATCCATCTTAGTTCGTGGCCAAATCTGTGTGAAAAAAAAGCTGTAATGACACAACCATGCTTGATTTTAATGATCATTTTCATAGCAAAATGTAGTTGAAAAAAGTTTTACCATTTTTATCAAGAAAAATAATTATAGGGAAGCTGAAACTGGATTTACATTTGAAAATCTTATGTGCAGTTTGGATTCATGTTTACTTAGCAGTTGTACTGATGTGGTTTTATACTTTAAATTTTTTTCTGGTAATTAGGGCAAAGTAAGTGGAACATCTTTCTTTCTTCAATAATTTTAGGCTGAGGGTATGCCTTTATAATATTTAAATTATAGTTTGTTAAACCAGCATTTAGTCAAACCCTTTTTTTTTCTTTCTTTTTTTTTTTTTTTTCAAACGGGGTTTCACCATGTTGGTCAGGCTGGTCTTGAACTCCTGACCTCAGGCGATCCACCCGCATTGGCCTCCAAAGTGCTTGGATTACAGGCATGAGCCACCACGCCCGGCCTAGTCAAACCCTTTATACACAGGAAAGGGTTTAGACTTTTAGGCTTCCAGAAGGTGACATTTAGTGTGACATTTAGGCTTCTGTGACATTTGAGGATTTTTGACATCTCTGACTCAGCCAAAAAAATGAGTAAGCAGGCTTAGTCTCCCTAAAGCTGGCAATGTACTTATTTTTAGAATTCAGGGTTCATGAAGTCAGGGCCTATGCCCCTCCTGTTCCCTGCTCTGTCCCCTGTACCTACAGCAAAGGCATAGTGCATATTCATAGAAAGGATGAGCAGATGAAGAAATAAATGAACAGAAAGGAAAGATGGTGAGCAGGTGGCTGGGCAGTGTGACCCTCTTCATGATGACAGCACTGAAGTAAAGCCTGTTGAAGGCAGTATAATTAAGAATGTGCTTTTAAAGCTATGCCGACCTAAATTGGAAGGCCATTTTGTCATTTGCTAAGTTGTGTGACCTTGGGTTGGCCACTTCACTTCCCTAATTTTAATTTCTTCATCTGTGCAATGGGACTAATAGTCCCTACTTTAGAAGAATGGTTTTGAATGAGATACTTCACTAAAAGAATTTAGCACAAGGCCTGGCTCCTATTACATTGTGGCCAAGGTGATTATTTTCATTTGTAGGCAACCAAATATCCTGTCTCCCTTCTAATGAGTAAATGCAAAGCTTATTTAAGGAAATGGAGGCCAGGTACGGCATGGTGGCTCATGCCTGTAATCCCAGCATTTTGGAAGGCCGAGGAGAGTGGATTACTTGAGGTCAAGAGTTTGAGACCAGCTTGGCCAACATGGCAAAACCTGTGTCTACTGAAATACAAAAATTAGCTGGGTGTGGTGGTGTGCCTCTGTAGTCCCAGAAACTTGGGAGGCTGAGACAGGAGAATTGCTTGAACTCAGGAGGCAGAGGTTGCAGTGAGCTGAGATTGTGCCACTGTACTCCAGCCTGGGTGACAGAGCGAGATACCGTGCCAATAAATAAATAAATAATGCCTGAATATTATCAATATTGCTGGATTTTGTAGAACCCACTAGTATCCTGTGGACAAAACAAACCACATATTTAACATAAAACTTCCTGGCAGAAGTCTCTATTTCATGAAACAGAAGGTTTATTATGTAGATGAAAAAATGTGACCATCCTAATGTTGATTCCTGGGTGTTCAGTAAATTTTGTTGGCCTCCCAGTTAATTATTGTGAAGAGTATGGAGTAGAATTTGTTTCAAATAGGATCATAGGCATCTTTAAGATGAAAAAAACCTTAGATAAAGGAAAACATTCTTAACTATTGTATTGGCTTTTTTCTCTCTCCCTCCCTCTCTCTCTCTCTCTCTCTCTCTCTCTCTCTCTTTATAGCAGAGACACAGACACTGGAGATCCTCCATGATAAAAATCTCACAGTAAGTAACCTTTTTTTGTGAGCTATGTTGTGCTCAACTTGGAAGGGAAAAGTATGGCTTTAGGGCCAGGCACAGTGGCTCACACCTGTAATCCCAGCACTTTGGGAGGCCAGGTGAGTGGATTACCTGAGGTCAGGAGTTCAAGACTAGCCTGACCAACATGGTGAAACCCTGTCTCAACCAAAAATGCAAAATTAGCTGGGTGTGGTGGAGCGCGCCTGTAGTCCCACCTACTCAGGAGGCTGAGGCAGGAGAACTGCTTGAAGCTGGAAGGCAGAGGTTGCAGTGAGCTGAGATCACACATTGCACTCCAGCCTGAGCAGCAAGAGCAAAACTCTGTCTCAAAAAAAAAAAAAAAGTATGGCTTTAGACTTCCTTCATGCCCACCCTTGGGGTAAAAAGCCTTAAGTTCCCTTAGCTTCAGATTCCTAGGCTATAACATGTTGATAAAGTTCGAACCTCATAGGCTTGTTGTAATGTAGGACTGAGGTGGTGCATGTAAAGTGCCTGACACACAGTAAAAGCTTGAAAACCACAGAAGAAACATTAGCATTTTGTCCCTCTTATTCTTCAATTTCACAACTGTCTACCCTGTGGAAGGTTCAAAGATTCTTCATCTCCCTAGAATACCTTTCTTCTCGATTCCATTGCAGTCCTAATGGGAAAGATTATTTAAATTTACCTCTTTATATATGATAAGACATCAGTCAGAAATATTCAAAGCCAAGAGTTTATATATTTAACTATAAATAAAGCCATACCTTAATTAATCTTAATTTTACTGTCCCTGCTACCTTATTAAAATAAAATAAAAACCGGCAGGGCACAGTGGCTCACGCCTGTAATCCCAGCACTTTGGGAGGTGAAGAAGGGTGGATCACCTGAGATCAGGAGTTCGAGACCAGCCTGGCCAACGTGGTGAAACCTCGTCTCTACTAAAAATACAAAAAATTTGCCTGGTGTGGTAGTGTGTGCCTGTAGTCCCAGCTCTTCCAGAGGCTGAGGCAGGAGAATCGCTTGAACCCAGGAGGTGGAGGCTGCAGTGAGCCAAGGCTGTGCCACTGCATGCCAGCCTGGGCAACAAGAGTGAAATTTTGTCTCAAAAAAAAAGAGTAAAAGAAATACCACTAGAAAGCAAACTTGTGGTAGTGACTTAAAAATTCTTTGAGGAGGCTGGGCACAGTGTCTAATGCCTGTAATCCCAGCACCTTAGGAGGAAGGATTGCTTGAGACCAGGAGTTTGAGGCCAGCCTGGGCCACATAGTGACACCCTGTCTCTACAAACAATTTAAAAAAATTGGCCAGGTGTGGTGTCACACATCTATAGTCTCAGCTATTTGGGAGGCTGAGGCAGGAGGATCGCTTGAGCCCAGGAAATCAAGGCTACAATGAGCTGTGATCATGCCACCGCACTCCATTCTAGGTGAGAGGGTGAGACCTTGTCTCAAAAAAAAAAAATTGCTTGGGGACATATCCAGGAGTCTGCATTTGTTTGACTCAGTTTCTTTTTTTTTTTATTTTAACTTTTTTCTCTTTTTTCTTTTTTTCCTGAGAATATTCTAAGTAATGACTCAGTTTCTTGCTTGTGTATTCACAACTGATGCTCAGCACCTTGTCTTTGCTCCGTCTCTCTTTGCAATCAAACAGTGCTTTTTAAGGACCTCTATATGCCCACAATGCTTAATGCCCAATACCTTGCATATAGGACTCCTGTTATTGCAGGAGTAATGTGTATTGAATAAATGGAAGATTTAACTTCCTTAAATCATTGTTTTAAAAATGTTTATAATTATTTGTGTGTGTGTGTGTGTGTGTGTGTGTGTGTATGTTGTATAAATAGGGTCTCAATATGTTGCCCAGGCTGATCCTTAACTCCTGGCCTCAAGTGATCCTCTTATCTCAGCCTCTCAAAGTACTTGGATTACAGGCATGAGCCTGGCCTATGATGACTGTTTATTGTTTATTTACTTATTTATTTTTGAGATGGAGTTTCCCTCTTGTCACTCAGGCTGGAATGCAGTGGTGTGCTATTTGCCAGGCTGGAGTGCTATTTGCTGCTTATATTTTCTGTCACTTAGTTCTCCTGATAACTCTATAGGATTTTTAGTGGCAGAGCTGGGATTTGTTTTTGTTTTGTTTTGTTCAGGCCAGCATACAGTGGTTCAAGCTATTCTCCCGCCTCAGTCTCCCTAGTAGCTAGGATTACAGGCACGTGTCACCACGCCTCTCTAAGTTTCGTATTTTTAGTAGAGACGGGGTTTCACCATGTTGACCAGGCTGGTCTCAAACTCCTGATGTCAGATGATCCGCCCACCTTGGCCTCCCAAAGTGCTGGGATTACAGGTGTGAGCCACTATGCCTGACCTCAGAGCTGGGATTTGAATTCAGGACTGTCTGGCTATAAGGTCTTGGCTACTGAATCACTGTCTTTTTGTGAAAATTAGGGGTTTCACAGTAAGACACCAAGTGTGGACTACTGTAAAACTCTGGGGAATATTAGGGGATCTTGAACCAACAAGACTTCACGCTAGGGGCAGGGAAAGGGTCTGTTTACTAAGAGCTCCTTCTCCTCCCACAACGCAGAAGGGCACATTTTGTTTCCTTGCTAACTCCAAAGGTTAAGCGAATCCCTTCCTTGGGTTGGCTTGAGTCTTGGCTACACGATGACAGATCAAAGGTGATTTCAAGGACCCTGCAATCCTGTGATGTTGTAAAAGGGATGGTCCAATTCACAAATCATGAGACTGAGTGCACAAGCGATTTCTAGCTATTTGCTGCTTACATCCTGTTTGTGTTTCTATAGCAACTGTCCACACTGGCCAATGAGTTACAGGATGCTGGAGCAACCATCAGAATAGGCGTCTACATCGGAGCAGGGGTCTCTGCTGGGCTGGCTCTGGCTCTTATCTTTGGCGCTTTAATTTTCAAATGTAAGTCTTTTTGTTTCTCTCTCCCTCTGGTAACAAATTCTTAAATGGGAACCATTAAAAGCCTAGATAGAAATGCAAATTCATGTTTATACTTAAAGATGATTAGACTAAAAACCCTTTTGTCCACCCTAACAATAATGGCTAATTTTTATTTACTATTTACTATGTGTCAGGTAGGCACTGGGTTAAATGTTTTACATACATTTTATCATCATTACTGTCTTACGAGATAAGGAGTAGTGCCATCCCCATTTTACAGTGGAGGGAAGCCAAGCTTGGAGTAAGCTGCCTTCTCAAGGTTCCAACATCAGTACCTGGCAGAACTGGAATTCAAATCCAGGCAGGCTGATTCCAGTACCTGTTCCCTTATTTTTGGTTAAGAAAACTAATCTCTTTAACTCATTAATATGTCTAGGTTTATTAGGGAACATGGCAACAAAAAGACACTTCCTGATGTGCACTTGTCTGTTACTGGTTTCTCAGGCATAGCTCTTTGGGAGTAGATTTCAAGTCTCTTTAACACTGGGTCATGATTGGTGTTACAGAATGTTTTCCTCCATCATGGTACTTAGCACATAGCTTTTTTTTTTAAAGTTACTTATCCTTTAAAACAGGAAACAAAACAAAACAAAAAACAGGCCAGGCTCGGTATCTCACACCTGTAATCTCAGCACTTTGGGAGGCTGAGGTGGGTGGATCATCTGAGGTCAGGAGTTCGAGACCAGCTTGGCCAACATGATGAGACTCCCCATTTCTACTAAAATTACAATATTGGCTAGGCATGGTAGCTCATGCCTGTAATCCCAGCTACTCTGGAGGCTGAGGCAGGAGAATCACTTGAACCTGGGAGGTGTAGGTTGCAGTGAGCCAAGATCATGCCATTGCACTCCAGCCTGGGCAACAAGAGCAAAACTCTGTCTCAAAAACAAAACAAAACAAACAAATGAAAAAGACTAAAGGGTGTTTCTAAGATATTTGGGACTTCCAGGGCTAAAACTGGAACAGTCCAAGAAAAACAGGGATGAGCTGATCACCCCACTAACTGTAGACTGAGGCTGCCAGGTGCTTTATGTGCATTAAATTCTCATAACTATCCTATGAGATAGGTACTAATATGTTTCTAATGGAGAATCAGCGTGCTAAAAGGTTAAGTCACTTGTCTGCATTTATACAGTTGATTGATAGATACAGGATTTGAACTCAGGGCTCTCCTGCTCCTCACCATTATGGTTTCAGCCATTATTGTTAAATGGATTATTCAGAAAAAGAAACTACCCCACCCACACTTACCTGGATTTATTCAGAGATAGCCATGGATTTTTTAAATTGATCACATGAATATATGTATATATATATATATATATATATATATATATATATATATATATATATATATATTATTATTATTATTGAGACAGAGTCTTATTCTGTGACCCAGGTGCTGGAGTACAGTGGTGCAATCTTGGCTCACTGCAGCCTCTGCCTCCTGGGTTCAAGCAATTCTTGTGCCTCAGCTCCTGAGTAACTGTAATTACAGGCATGGGCCACCACATACGGCTAGGTTTTGTTTGTTTTTTTGTTAGAGATGGGTTTTGCCATGTTGCCTAGGTTGGTCTCAAACTCCTGAGCTCAAGCGATCCTCCTACTTCAGCTTCCCAAAGGGCTGGGATGATAGGCATGATGAATATATACATATTTAAAAATAGAGATGGGGTCTTGCTATGTTGTCCAGGCTGGCCTGGAACTCCTGGCCTCAAGAAATCCTCCCACCTCAGCCTGCTAAAATGCTGGGATTATAGGCATGAGCCATTGCGCCTGGCCTCCCATAAGTATTTTGAAAACAGCCTAGGGAATGTTAAGGAGCAATGATAACATCCACTACTTTTTTGAGTTCTGCCCAGGCTCAAAGTAAAACTTTGAGCTTTACTATTATATATATTAGAGACTACTTTATATATATATTAGGGACCATGATTTATATATATATTAGTAATTATTCTAATTTGTATAAAGAGTAACGGAGCATGGAGTAAATCTGATGCTTTGTACACATACATTTATGCCACTCCAAAAAACATGGTGACTGAGAAGAATGGATAAGAAAGTCCTATTTAGTTTCCAATCTTTTCCCTGGAAATTGCTGGAGAAAATATGAAAATCAGGGTGACAGCTTTTTAAGTCATGAACTCACAAAAACAAATCGGCACTCAAGAATGCCCCACAATCTTCCGTCTTTCTTGTATGCTCTCTTAGATGACCATCCATACTTCACTGCTGCTCAAACCTTCTTTGCCCCTCTCCCTAACTGAGGAAATACCAAAGGGCTATTTCATCTCCATTGCCTAGGCCCAAGACTTCATCCTTCTTTTTATCCCTTTCTTTTGAGTCATCGCTATCCTTTTCTATTTATGTTCTAGTCCATGCATTCCTCTCCAGCTGCTCCCATGTCTCAACTCTTTATCACAGCTGTATTTTTCAAAGTAGTTGTCCCAACGTTTTATCCGTCTGCACTCCTTAATCAACCATCATCTAGTTTCTACTCCAAAGCACCATGAAAATGATCAAGGTCACACCAATGACCTTCATTTTTCTAAATTAAATATTGATACCGTTATCTTTTTTTTTTTTTTCTTGAGATGGAGTTTCACTCTTGTTGCCTAGGCTGAAGTACAATGATGCAATCTTGGCTCACTGCAGCCTTCGCCTCCCAGGTTCAAGTAATTCTCCAGCCTCAGCCTCCTGAATAGCTGAGATTACAGGCAAGCACCACCACAAATAGCTAATTTTTGTATTTTTAGTAGAAACAGTGTTTCACCATGTTCACTAGGCTGGTCTCAAACTCTTGACTTCAGGTTATCCTCCCGCCTTGGCCTCCCAAAGAGCTAGGATTACAGGCATGAGCCACTGTGCCTGGCCTGATACCTTTATTATAGTCAACCTTTTAAGTTGATCACTTATTCTAGAAAGTCTTCCTTCTATTGGCTTCTAAAATGACATTCTCCTATTTGATTGGCCCTTGCTTTTCAGTGCTTCTTTTGCCTGATCCTTAGATGTTGAGATTCCTTAGGGCTGGGTATGGTGGTGCACGCCTGTAGTCCCAGCTACTCAAGAGTCTGAGGCAGACGGATCACTTGAGCCCAAGAGTTTGATGCTGTGAACTATGATCTTGCCACTGCATTCCGGCCTGGGTGACACAGAGAGACTGTGTCAAAGAAAAACAACATCAAAAAAGATTCCTA